TTTACCTACAGGTAGTTTACAAAGATAGTCTCAAGTACAACCCCTCTTTACATAAATAATCTCATTCAGATTGGAGACTATGTATTTGTTATAACAATGACATTTGAACTACTGCTCAAAATCATTGCTAATGGACTATTCTTCACTCCAAAGGCTGTTATTAGCGATGTTGGAGGAGTCATGACCATGTTCATCTATTTTGTAAGTAAAAATCCATTGCTCAGACAAAAGTAATTGAGATGAACTCCTTCCTAAAACCAAAAAAAAATTGCTTGATTATGGTGAAAGCAGCACTTCAAAAAGCATTTTTTTCGTACCCTGTGATCAAAAGTTCTTACTTTGATTATTCTAGACCAGCCTCGCCTTCCTAATATGGATGCCCCATCACGTCGAAATCAACTCATTCGCTCAACTTCTAATGATATTCCGAGCAATGAGGCCTCTTCGTATTTATACTCTAGTGCCACATATCAGAAGAGTTGTACTGGAATTTTTCCGCGGGTTTAAAGAAATTTTACTGGTAATTTTGTTCACTTCTGCAAAAATTCTATTACGTACGTTTTTCGCTTTAGGTGACCATCCTAATGATTGTTGTTATGTTTATATTTGCAAGTTTTGGTGTACAAATTGTTGGAGGAAAATTAGCTGCTTGTAATGACCCAACTGTCTTGTCAAGGGTTTGTTACCCATTTAACTTACCAGTGACCCAGAAAATGTTTTTTCCTCAGGAAAATTGTACGGGTATCTTCTGGCAAAAAATTTTCGTTACACGTCTAGAAGTTTATGGAAAAAATGATGAAGAGATGCATCCAAAAATTCTTGTGCCAAGAGTGTGGTGAGTTGGCTGTAAAGTATCGCTGCGGAAACCATCAACAATTTTTTCTTTTCAGGACTAACCCGCGGAATTTTAACTTCGATCACGTTGGCAATGCTATGTTGGCTTTGTTTGAGACGCTGTCCTACAAGGGGTGGAACGTTATTCGAGATATTCTTTATAGCAGACAAGGACCTGTAAGCATAAATT